AAATACCTGTCTTTTATTCTTAAAAAAATACAAAATATTTGCTTTAACGAATCGATTCGTTATTATCTCAATTTCGAATTGAATCGTATTTAATAACAATGCTTCGGAAGCCGCTTTTGCGCATGCGCGATCGCGTCCGCCATTTTAATGAATCGATTCGTTATATCCTTAACGAATCGACCCCCGCACCAATAACGAAGCTTCAGAAGTGATTTTGCGCATGCGCGGGGGTCCGCCATCTTTACAAAATGTTTTGTAAATATTTACGAAATTTCGTAAATACCGAAACTTTTTTTGGGAAAGTTTTGTAATTATTTTAAATATCGAAACAAAAAAACACCCCAATTACAAATCGATTTTAGAAACAAATTTTTTCTTGATCAACCAGGCCTAGAAGATAGTATTATACCAATTTAAAGGAAAAATAGTATAAAATATTCTCTAGATGGTACCTTACCCCCAATAAATTAAGACACATGTATAAAAATGTCTCTGACAAATGCTGGAAGTGCAGTGAACAAACAGGTACATTCTACCATATGTGGTGGTCCTGCAAAGAAACATCTAAATATTGGTCACTAATACATGAGGAAACACAAAAATTACTGAAAAGGAAGTTTAAGAAGAAGCCTGAGTATTATTTACTTGGCTTCACAGACCTGGATCTACAACTTGAAGAGAATGAAGACAAATTATTAACATACATTACAACGGCAACGAGGATTATTTTTGCTAGATATTGGAAAAAAGAGCAGATTCCTATTATTGACGAATGGATAGATAAGGTTAAAGAAATAAGAGACATGGATGAACTAACTTTTTTGATGAGGAAAAATACCGGAAAATCGATAAAAAGGACAGACTGGACCCTTTTTTATGACTATGAAAAAATAGAAGAAAAATAGAGGCCAAGAATACATAGATTAGACCAAGAAGTATTTAGAGAAGATCCTGAGGCTGGAGTGGAAGTCATTTTAGAACTGTTGAGGTGTGTGTTTTTTTTTGGACTTTTAATTTTTTTAGGCATTTTGGCCTTTTTCTTTTTTCTTTTTTCAGGTTTCCTACTTTTCTATCTTCTATAGTATTGACACTGAAATTCAACACTGCCTGAGCTCTGCTAGTGCAGCTTTTTTCTGAATGAAGCAGAGAGAGAAGCTTGGCCTGTCATTGAACAACGAAAAAACCAAAGCTCTGCGAGTGCAGCATTTTTCCATATGAAGCACAGAGTGTTTGAGGACTGGGACATCCATAGGATATCAAGGTGCTTGTTTATAAAGCTATTGTCCTCCCAACCCTACTATACGCCTGCGGGACTTGGACTGTCTACAGACGTCACATGCAACTCCTAAAATGATTCTATGAGCGTTGTCTCCGAAAATCCTGAAAATCTCTTGGGAAGACAAGTGGACAAATGTCAGCATTCTGGAAGAAGCAAAGACTGCCAGCACTGAAGCGATGGTCCTCCACTATCAACTCCGCTGGACTGGCTACGTTGTCCGGGTGCCTGACCACCGTCTCCCAAAGCTGTTGCTCTACTCCAAACATAAGAATGGAAAATGGAATGTTGGTAGGCAAGAAAAAAGATTTAAAGATGGGCTCAAAGCCAACTTCAAAAACTCTGGCATAGACACTGAGAACTGGGAAGCTCTGGCCCTTGAAAGCTCCAGCTGGAGGTCAGCTGTGACCAGCAGTGCTGTAGAATTTTTTAAAAATTATTTTTATTGAAGTTTTTAACATAATGGGGTTTAAAAAAAGATGGGGAAGAGGGGGAGGGCAGGCAAGGCAAGTGTTGAGGGGGAGTTTTGGGATAGGAATGGGGATAGTGTCTTTGGTGGGGTCGGGGAAACGGGATGAAGGGACAGAGAGCAAGTAGGGTTAGAGGGAGATAGGAAGGGTATTTTCATCTTCCAGTTGTCTTTGCAGATGGTGTAGTTGTTTCTTTGATTTAGAGTTTGAAGTAGATAACTGCTAAGACTCCTACATCGTGTCCATTTATCATGTTATGTTTGATTGTTGTATGTTTATCATCCATTTGAAATTTTCCTGAATTAGAAAATTCTTTACTGGGGACCAGTCTGTTTTTAGTGTCTTCATCTTCACCTTCATCAATTGTGTTAGTTTGTCCATGTTCATGATGTCTATTATTTTAGATAACCATTTTTCAAGTGTTGGGGTTTCCTTGGATCTCCAAAACCTCGCATAGCAAATTCTGGCCGCTGTTATGAGACAGTTGAAGAGCTTTTCTTTGTGTGTTTCCAATTCTAATATTCCTAATAAAATGTATTCTGGTTTAAACTCGATCTTTATTTCTAGTATCTTTTCCATTTTTTCATGTATATTCTTCCAGTAAATTTTTCCTGTATATTTTTGTTATCAATGTATTTTCTGAATTCATAATTTTATCCCATATAGTTTGTGCTGTCGCACGCTGGGCCTGAAGTAATGTCTGTTTACAGGACGTGCTCTCTGTATGCCCAACGGGACGCCGGGGTGCCTCAGCTGAAGGGCCCTTTAGATTTCCCAACACAAAGTTCTATTGAGGTTCAAGTTAAGTTCAACAAAGTTCTTTATTTGGGCTTAAATCTTCAAACAAATGAATTAAACACTTTATAACCTTGGAAAACCGGTAGCTTCCCCAATCTGCCAACAAGGAGCAGGCAACTGGTGGTAAACTGTTCCTTTCTTCCTTAAGGAAATCCTTTGACTCCCTCCCTGGGCAATCTCTCTTTACCTTGCTGGCATGAGGCCCCTACTCCTGGCTCCAAGCCCGAGTGGTCCCTTACCAGGCAAGGTTCCTGTAGATCTGCCAAGCTGAAAGGTGTCCTTTAGTTTCTCCATGAAGGCTTTAGGAACTATTTCTTTACTCCCCAGCAGAAGCTGTGGATCCTTTCCTTTTCCCCCCAGCAAAGCTGTGGAATTCTCCTGTTGCTCCAGCAAAGACTGTGCTGTATTCCCCAGCAAAGCCATGGAGCCTCCCCCCCCCCCCCAACAAAGCTGTGAGAAATGAAGCCTTTGTGCAGGTGGGAGAGAGAGACCCACACGTCCTTCTGTTAGGCTTCCAACAGTGAGACTGAACAAAGTCCTCCTATCCCTCCAAAACCCTGGGAAAAGGGGTGGGCCTAAAGGCTCCAACGATGATTGCCAGATTGTTGGCCCTATGACTGCAACCTGAAGAAGCTCCCTGATTGCAAAATGCATGGCTATATAAATTCATGCAAACTAGCAGTGCAAGAAAAAGAAATTTAAATCTCCTGGCACAGCCGTGCCAGCACATAGTTCCTTTCTCCATGGTCATTCTTCTTATGTTTTATATAATACTAGCTGTCTTCTGCCACACATTGCTGTGGCCCAGTCTGGTGATCTGGAAAATAAAGTAATTAGAAAGTGTTGGTTTCTAATATATGTAATTCCTTTATGCTTGTGAGTAAACAGTATTTCTTGTTGTATCTTTGTCAGTGATGATGTGGAGAGTGTCTGGTTTACCTACTCTGGAATATGCAACATATCATTGTCCTTCTTTAAGGGTCTCTTTCAAATCTATGATACTATATCTG